GAATTCACTATGCATCATATCCCTGATATTAAGTTTATCGTTATTTCTAAAAAAGAGTACCACATGTCCATTCAAAGAACGTTATTAAGTGTACTAAAGAGAAGATGGATCTTTTCAGCCTAGTCGGAAAGGCCGTGCTGGGGCTCCACGGAATGTACGTGTAGGTGCTGAAGAGCAAGTGTTAGAAAACATGGAAGCGGATCCTAGGAGAAATGTCCGCTGCGTAGCGCAAATGAGTGGATGCTCAAGATCGACCACTCATCGTATCCTACAAGAGAGAAGACTGCATCCTTATCATTACACGAGGGTGCAGCATCTGCGACCAGCCGACTACCCGCAACGAGTACATTTTGCTCAATGGTTACTGCGACAAAATGAACTAAATCCTGATTTTTCACGGCGCATTCTTTTCACCGACGAATGTTCATTTTCCCGAGAAGGAATGTTTAATGCACACAATTGGCATTTCTGGGCACACGAAAATTCACATCTCACTAGGGTGAGAGCATATCAGGAGCGATTTACTATTAATCTATGGGCTGGAATCATTGCTACTAGTGTGGTACAAATTTTAATGCATCTGATAAAATTATCACTAAACTCCGTTCCTGTTTATTTCGGTGGGGCCGTTTGTGTTACCTGATTACCTTAATGGGGAGGTATATGCTAATTTTCTACGACTAGAGCTTCCGACGTTGTTGGAAGACGTTCCTTTGAATGTACGGCGGAATATATGGTTTCAGCACAACTTTAAAGAAACTGTTTTAAATCATATGCAACATCAATATTATTCTTGAATAAGTCTCTGTTTTCATTATCTCCCCCACATGATTGACACCACAGCAGATACCTATGATCTCAATACACCAGAGAAGTGGAGTCTCGTCTATTTTTTCGTTGCTTAGATTAGGTATCAGCAACAAAGCTGTTCAGTAAAAATTGATACTGTTTATTGAAAATCATAAGCACCGATTAATCAAAAGCGATATTTATGTTTTAGTACACTTAATAACGTTCTTTGAATGGACGTGTGGTACTCTTTTTTAGAAATAACGATAAACTTAATATCAGGGATATGCTGCATAGTGAATTCTGAAAATGTACTAATTTTCGTTAAAAAGAACAACACATTATTCACAAGGCTCTAAGAAAATGACTTCTAATACCTGCTCTTCGGTATCTACACTATGTAGAATAGTAATAAATGTATTATTTGCCTACGATGAAATGAAACAGCTTCTCTTATGAAATGTACAGCCCAGTTAAACACAATTTAACTAGAATGGCAGCAGAAATAACTTCTGTCCCATGCTACTTGCCTTAAAGTAAACCTTGACGTCTCTGTGTACATTAATCAGTCATCTTTGGCGCAGAAGCGTCTCTTCAGGTCAGTGATGAACTTCGTGACAGTTTATGACAAACAATTGTCAAAATGATTAAATTTATAACCACACTTCTGTTTCCTTTTGTTGACGGAGGGGGATTCGGAAAAAATTCATTCAACTTTAGTATTACCCGATTTTTTGTTCTTGGCATAGGTAACTTGGAACATAGAAACGTTCGGATATAAAAGTAGCCTCTCTATTGGTCAACTTAATCGCCTTCCAGTTCTCACACGGTTAAAGCCTGGACAATTCTTTTTGCGAATTACGGCACAGTTCGGGACAGGGAACATGTCATTCACGGGAATGGCGCGAATTCTGGGACACCCTGTATTTTACTCGATTTTCAGTCTTTATTTAAAAATATAAAATATCTGCTTTATTTCAACTGATTTTTCATCAGTTTTGGTGATTTTCATGACCACCCAAATTTTCTATTATTAACCGCTAGTGCTAACTAATTATTTGTTCAATATTTTCATTGGTTTTTACTCGATTTTAACCTTTGCAACATGCATGTATACAGGGTGATTTAAAAACGGTGCACTAGGTTGGAAAAAAATCATTACAAAATTTATTACGTGATTTGACGTTCATTTACAAAAATAAAATGTTGGTTTAAATAGATTAAAAAAGGTCAAAAATTGACCAAATTCATTCTGAAGAATTTCTATTTTTTTTTTTTTGTAATACATATTACGAAATGAAGAAAACTATGGATAGACATGAAATTTCTGAAATTATTTTGAATACAGAAAGTCTGATCTATTTCATGTATCTACCCAACACAAAGTTATGCGTTAAAATATCATGAAATATCGGAAAGAAAAATTAAATTTCGAAAACCATGTCTTTTAGCTTTGGACCCAAGGATTTTTCAAATTATTTTTTCTTTACTCAATCCACAACGTACACAGAGTTATTGTGGCCATTTTTTAATCACCCTGTATGTACTTATGTATCATACAAATTTACAGGGCAACTTGATTTTTAGGTATAAAATAAATTATTAGAAAATTCAGTAACATTCAAAATATCATCAATACCTGCACTTTTGAAGAATTATAATTCGATACGATTTTTTTGTTCAATTTTACATCATTTTCAAAACCAATCAAAGTCACCTCACTTATATCAGTCTCAGAACTCCCAGTTATACCTGTATAAGAAAAATTGGTCGAAGTTTATTTCGACAATATTTCCTCGATCCTGAAGTACAAGTCCATTAAATCTCGCTTTTGCGAAAAGTTCTAAAATTTTGTGATAACCTCTATAAAGTAAAAATTAGCAGCATAAATAACACCCCTGCAGTTCCTGCACCGTGGGGCTCAAATTGAAAGAGATTGTGCAAATTGGACAAGTACGGACAAGTAAAATATATTTAAAACAGATAACCAACAGGCAAAGTGGCCTTTCAGCAAATCATAACAAACTTTAACTTCAAGTGTTTGTCTATACATCGAAACAATGTCACGTAGAAATTTGTTTAATCTGAATGAGTTTGTCGCGTCCAAACAGAAGACTAAATTATTAATTAAGCACAGCCGAATGGAATGTTCTGAATATTATTATAATTCTTATTAGTATCTTTTCTTTTCGAGAAAATGGGGTGACTCGTTCTTAATTCGATCAATAAAAAAATTTTGTCATGACGTCGTAAACATAGATAAGACACAGCACGAGAGAAAAAGAAAAAAAAAGAAACGGCCAAGTTTAGCAACGAACGTGCGATCGCCAGTCCTCATGCTTATATCCTGAGTTAGTAGTAAAGTGTTAATTTTTTTGTGAACATTTAGCTTTAAGGAAAAAATCAAAGCCGATTCGCTTCGTACACCACAAGTATCGGATATATTATTGTACAACATTTAAATCATTTTAAAATAGAATTCTTTTAAATGACGTTGCAATTAATACTCCCACAGGAAATTGAATCGTTTCTTGTTTTAAAATTAAAAAAAAACTTGTTCAAGCAATAGGTAATATGTATCAACTTATATAACAACTATTAAATTAAAATTAATTCACAATTTGGCTGAGCAAACCTATTATTTTTATTTAATATTTGAACAAAAAATACACTCATTTTCTGTTTTTAGATTAAAAAAACCTGCTTAATGTATAATGCACAAATGAAATTTGAATCGAGTTTTTGCTTTAAACGTTAGGAAAGAACTATTTAATACTGCAACAACCCCTGAGACATAACAAACAGGTTTATAATTGTAAAATTATTTCATATTCGAGCAGTCGTTCAGGAGAAAATAACGACGATTTATAAAGATAAAAGTGAAATAAAGATTTCAACTAGTTCCTCTTCGGTTTCAAGATACGTCAAAATGAACCAATTTCTTTGATATTAGTAAGATAAGACAAACAACACCACCCTAATGCATTTCTCATGTTCACTTAACTGAACGAAACATGGAAATATCAATATCACGATATTTTTATTAAAAACAAAATTACATCTTTACGTTTCTCTATCGCAAATGTCAGAGCTGGAGAATTTGCAACAATAAAACAACTATCGGGTGAATTTTTAAATTTCTGCTCTAGTTGACCATGATGCTACGTCAGCCGTTTCAATTGTACTAGAAACTTGATCAGAAATTTAAAAAATCACATCAATGAATCTAAAATTATTATTTGTTTTTATTTACGACTCATTTAATTCATCCAGTCGGATAAATTTTAATATGTAATAGCTCGGATAAATAATTCCATTATTTGATGATCATTTAATGTAATAGTTATTACATAATAATAATTTAATACATGTAATAGTAATGGCTCTGGAATGTTTGTCCTGTTAATTATTTTGCCATCATATTTTCACAGTGAGATAGATTTTGTTGACATTTGAAAGCTGCCCTTAATGCCAAAATCAATTATGGACATGCTTTATAGTAAAAAAACTTACCGTAGTTTAATTGGCAGTTCGGTTTATATAAATTTAATTACTTTACTTAAGGTATCCAATGAAATTTACTACTGGTAAAAAATTACTACTAAAAGACACCTCATTAAGTTTGCAAAAATTGTACAAATGAAGCCTGAAAGTGTTAAAGACCGAAATAAAAATGTGTAGAATTTAACACAACTTTTGCGTTGTGTCTGCTGAACAAAACGAAATCTTTTGTTAAAAAGGAAAGAAGCTCAAGATTATTACTAGGTATTGTCCTTTGAATTTATTTTTTTTTTTTTGCTACTGGTCAACAAATTCATAAAAGATGCACACAAATTGTATAACTAGTGCTCAAGTTAATAAAATTAAAAAAGAATTTTATTTTATTGTTAAATTTACTATAATTTTGGAAAACACATTTTAATTTTGAATAGAACATTAATAGAAAAATTAAAATGTGGGTATGATATTTTTAAAATCTTCTCAACAAAATTTTGGTGCTGATTCGAGTTGGAATTCCTAGTAAATCGATTGTATTCAGTAGATTCAGTCAGGTTTAAAAATAAGCATATATTAAACTAGTACTTAACTGTACAATTTTCATTGTCTTTAAATTGACCAGTTACATTTTCTAAGTGGAATGTCAAGATTACAGTAAATTAATTTTTGACTGCGAATAATTTTAAATTCCTTTAGCAAGGTTAAGAACCTTTCTATAAAAAGATCGCTCAACTGTCAAATATAGGTTACCGGCAGTGATTTGTGTTGTGGTAAATCTCATTTTTGCTGTGTTTCCTCAACCAAAATAACTCAAGCCTTTCCAAAGTAAGTAAATGAAATGATTCCATCAACCCAAAATAAAAAATACCAAAATACACTGGAACAACGACGAATTATTCAATTCCTCCAACATATTGATCTTTTGAGGTTAAGTAACTTTCACGTGTTTGTTCTTATTAATAATCCCCTCATTCCCAATTCTAACGTCATTTTATGAATGGTGTGAACCGAACCTTTCAACAAGTATTAAAAAAATCGCCCACAATAGAAATTTTAATTTATTTCATAATTTCCTTGGAATGCTGTAATAATAGAAACTCGATTCCGGAGCCCTTGTCGCCATCTATCGGTGCTCCCTACACCTACTCAAATGCGGTATTTTTGAACCCGACGCACTCCCAATCCGCGATTTCCATCGAAATCATCGATTAAATCAGTGAATTTCGAAATTATAACGGCGCATTTATCAGCCCGAGGCCGTACTGAGGCAAATTACATTAATACGAAAGTTGGAATTGATGGTAAATTCGAAATTGCAGCCTATGCAACGGTGAACTTATTATTATGTAGCGCTTTTTTAAAAATGGTGAACGCTCTGCAAAATCCCTAAGTTACAATTTCGGTATCAGATTGAAAATTGCTATTTTGTGCAAATTAAGTTGCAGTCTGTGATGTGTGTTATTATTTGAACGCATAACCGCACCGATTTGCATATCGGAAAATGGTTTGTTCGTCGTAAAAAAAGCACACGGCATCGACCATGGAAGTGGTTATGTGTTATCCATTTTTTAGTATAAGAACTTTCACACATTCTAGATTTAGCTTTATAATACTGTTTTTTCCAGTGATTTTTATTTTCATGCAGTTGGCAGTTTGGCATTTTTTGAAATTGTGAACTAAACATGTGTCTTTAAAAAACATTTAAAAAATAAATAACGTTTTAAATATACAGGGTCAGAAGTTTCCCATTCCTTGATTAACAAATTCAAAACGCAACCATCAATACAATTTGATATATACTACATATATACTAAAGAGTAGCCATATTTTTCTACAGTGATCGTCTATGAAAATCATATGTCTTTCCGTCGTTTAATTATATTTTGCATCAATTCTGCAGAAATGTCAATTTTAACATGAAAGTAACTGATATTACGTCAACTGGTTTTTTTTTCGAGTGGTATGAAACATCGAAGAATTTTTTAGGCGCGGAGTTTCTCCTGAATAACCGTGTATATTTTAAAATTATATTAATTTCGTTTTTATATACTGGAATGAATGAGGTAACGTTCTTCAATTTTATAAATTCCTTTAGTGACGTCCAATAAGATGTCTTTTATGAAATCAAGAACATGAACACATACTTTCACAATCGTAGGAAATGAGTCCAACTCCATGTTCGGTTTACTACAATATACTATTTCAGCATTGTCTACATAGTATAGGTATTCACGTCGAAGTAATTAGAAGCTTCTAGCATGAACAGTTCTTTACAATGAAAAAATTATAACAGTGAAATTGACAAGTTCTAAAGTATAGAAATTAGAAAAAGCTTGAATTCTTATCGAAACATTTCGCTTTTACTTTTCACATTTTTTATCAATATACTACGAAGCTCCTGTGTAGACTAATTTTTGCCTTATAATTAATTACCGTTTTACAGTGTATATAACGTTCTTAAGAATTTACTATTAAGTAATTTAATACAAATTTTAATTTTCAGTTAAATTAAATTTAATTTATGTATAAAAAAAATATTTTTATATGACTTGGATGACAGTTTGACCTACGGGTGAAATGTATTTTTCTTGAAATAAACCTTTACTGGTTTTGGCGCGAAATTTGAACCAAACAGACACAAGGTAATAAAATGTGGGTTATAAAGTAATAACTTAATAACATGTATTGCAATATTCTATGTATGCTTAAAAAACAAGTATATTGTGAATACTACTTAACTCTTAACATACTTCAAAACATATGCAACATAATCTTTATAAAATGATTCATGTGCCTTATACGACTTTAACTACAAGGTAAATTAAATAAAACTAATACAAAACACTTTTAAAGAATGATTTTAATGGAATGATATTTATAGTGTTCTTAATGTGACTATAAAACAAACAGTAGAACGCAAAGATCAATAATTTGTATGAATTACTAAAAGAAAAGCAAGAAGTACGTTAACAGCAACAAGAACCCTTAATATTAAAGGGGTAAAACAGAATATTCTCATTTTATATTAATTGTTGTCACCCGTAGACTAATTTTTTCACTAATGCTATTTTATATGTGTGACATTTCTACAACACGGGCTGTTTGTAATCAATCACATCTGCTCAAAACTGTGATCCAACTTAAGAATCAAAAGTATTTCAGTTGTTGTTGCTCATTTCTTTCATTTCGATGCGTTTTGTGATGTCTACTACGAGAATGACTAGTGTAGAAAACTATGACAAGAATAAATTGAATTATCACAATCTGTTACTTATATATATTCTCATAAATGAAACATATTCATAAACCATAAAGGAACAAAACAAAATAGCGAACGCTGTTGATGGTATAGTCGCCTCATCACGGTCAGCACGATTTCCTCCCCCTAAATTCGCAAGTGGATCGCACCAAACGCTTTTACGTTTACTGAGTCGTTTTATTAGTGTGTTCTTCTCCAAGTATTTCCACTCGACAATTCAATCTTTATACGCACTACTTTTTGAAGTACTTGCGTCTCTGCAACATGCTTACAGCGTCGCTAATTGAAAATACAGGGAAATAAAAACAACTTTTTGTTTCCCAAGTTACGGCTAAGGAAAGTATGGTACGGTATTTGTATCAAATACGAGTATTTATTATCATGTTTTCTTAGCGTTTTATAGCTCATAGAATACGAAAGTGTAGGTGTCCAATTTCCGTATCTGTGATTGCCGTTTACCGGAAATTTGTTAGAAGGTTCATTGTTTTTCCACTCAACGATTGCCAGGTGTAAAATACTTAAGTTTATTTTGGTGATTTACTTCTCAAGATCTTGGCGTTGTTTCACGTAAACGTACACAACCATAAAGAAGTTTGTCGTCAATATGTAATTGGTAGAACTGTTCTATAATAATGGCTTAAGTTAAGGAATCCAGTATAACTTACGGTTTAACCTAACTTTATCATGGCACAAGAAGTATCTGGCGCCCTAATTTAAATAAACAACTCCATAAATTAGCTTTCTATCTTCCATCTTTTAGGTTCTTTCCAATTAATGTATGTACTAGTTGCACGGTTATTAGTGCATCCACTTTAACTTACGGTTTGAAGTTGCAACTTGGGCAATAAAACCTGTAGAATTTTAAAATTATTAATTTTATTACCATACAACCACTCACAAAAAAATATCTATTATTATTTCTGTTAACTTCAAGACTTTTATGCAGACAAAAATCAAACAAATAAAATCTCAACACAATTGTTACTGTAATAAAAGAAAATTATTCTGTTTGGTTGCATTTTACAGATCATGCCACCAAAAAAAGTGCAAGAACCGGAAAGGAAGCCCCTTATAGGCAGGGTCGGCACCAATTTGAGGGTTGGCATCGTTGGAATACCAAATGTTGGGAAATCGACTTTCTTCAACGTTCTGACCAAAAGCTCGGCGGCGGCGGAGAATTTCCCGTTCTGCACCATTGATCCCAATGAAAATAAGTATTTTTTTGTCGTAGACGGTTTTTTTTTAATCTAATGCGGTAAAATGAAAGTGTTAGTGCCCGCATTCTTACAGGTGCTGAACTAATGTGCGATTGTCAACCATTAAGTTTGCAATAAATTTGACTCAATCTACCTGTATTAGCCGACAAATTTATTAAAAAAACAACATAATCTTTCGTTCCACATATAAAGACCAGCAAAAAGCCGTTTTCATTTACTTTAATACTTACTTTGTCTACAATTTACAATCATTTTGATGTTTATGGGGAGTTGTGGATAACGAAAAATGCTGCAATACAGGATGACAATACTGAGGGCTATTAAAAGTCAATGACAGAGAAAATTACTATGCAGCGACTTTGTAAATATACCATATGATCATAAAAAAAGACTCCTCTAGTAGCCGTGCAATTTATTTTTAAAATAATGATGTTAGCAACACCAACGAGTTTCTTGTTTGTTTTGACAGTTAATAACTGTCAAAAAAAGGGTCAAATAGCTGCAATACCAAAATGAAAAACAACTTTTTTATCTACAGATGCTTCACAAATCGTTAAAATGAAATTCAATTTATATAAAAATAATAAATAAGACAAACTACCAAAATTTGAAGTTCTTTGAGGTAATAATGCGTTATTTCTGTTTTAGCCAAAAATGCATTGACCTTTGCCTTTTAACCAGAATTTTTTGATTTTTTATAATAATCCTTCTTCCATGGTTCGTTTTTGTTTTTTGACTGATAAACAAGTAAATTATTGTCAAAAAAAACCTCTTTTTTAAACGTTAGATATGTTCTATTTATTTTTTAATTTTTTTCCAGAAAAGGGTTGTAATAAGGTCATTTTTGAGAGTGTCTATTTTTATTTTCCTGGCATTTCACGTAACAGCAAAGAAAAATAGGGACCAATAGAGTTATCTTAATACCCAAATATTTTTACGCACGAATGGAAAAAGTTGCGCACGAGCCGCGAAGCGGCGAGTGCGTATTTCCATGAGTGCGTAAGGGCTTTACAACTCGAATTATGTACTATACTTTTTCTACGAGCACAGACAAAGAAAAAAATATTTTCTATCATTTTATTCATGAACATTAACATTTTAGTTTTATTAGATGTTGTAATTATTTGTAGTAATTGTTTATTGTCACTGAACAGTTGTTAAACACAAGGGAATGGTCGGTAGTATTAGTTTTGTGGCTACTTGTACTCTGACTACAGGATGCAGTCACATTATGTTCTGAAATAGTGACATGATTATTTGATGTAGTAGGACTGTTGTTTATCGCAGATTTTTAGTGAATTGTCGGTTTTATTTTTCACTGAATTATCTACATAGCCTTCAGCTACCGAGGACGACCGCCATCCACCATGCCTTTTTAATGCTAGTAAATCACCACCAGCATCAACTAGGATGGTGGCAGACGATCGCCTGAAACAATGACCAGTGTATTGTTTTGGATCTGGTAAACCAAGATATTCTGCTATATTTTTTAGTACACTACCAATCTTATTTGTGCCGACACACTGCTTGGTGCATTTTTGGTTTATGTAATTTAAAAAAAAAGGTAGTGATTTTGTATCATCTCCTGAAGGACGTAAGTTCATATACTTCTTACAAGTTGGATAAAAAGTTTTAGGTACAACAAAAGAACGTTGAGTTTTTGTTTTTGAATCAGGAATGGTGATAATTAATGATTCTCCAGTATCTTGTACATGTTCAGGTTTAATATTTCGCAATTCCTGTTTTCTGCATGCACCACTAACCGCAATGATAAGAACCACCTAAAACAAAATGTTATATTTATGAGGTTATAACATAGATGTGAGATACCTTCATAAATAGATATTGCGTATCTGGAGCATTTTGTAAAAAATCATTTATATTTTTGCTTGTTAAAGTTTTTGACTTTTTGCTCTTAAAGCCATCTGCTTTTCTTTTTAGTAGAGCTATTAATTTAGGATAAGTGGCAATGTTGATTTTGTCATGTTTTATGTTTATTGTAGCCCTTAACATTGAATATATCGCCCAAAGAGAAGATGGTTTCATTGTAGTTGACAACTCTTCAAAATATGCCAACATTACGTTTTCTGACAACGAATTTACTTTATTTTTTAATTTCCACTCCATAAATTTGTGGTAGACGGTTTCATACCTATCACGCGACTTTGCGGGCAATAGGTTTTCGATAAGCCGTTTTGGCCTTTTCAATTATTTCCGGCGGCGTGCACATTAATTCATCACTATCGCTAGACATTTTAGACTACAATTAAATAAAATCCGTAAAAAGAGAGAAATGTTGATATTTTTTGCAATAAATGTTACCTTGTTCGTTTTCTTGTTTTCAAATTCTTTGATTATGCCTCTTTTATTAACAGTAACGCTGACAGTGCTTCACAATTTTGTATTTGCCTGTCCGTCTTGTCATTTTCACTACCAACCTAAATTGAATAAATCGAAAAATCCCTAACTGTGCGATCTGCTTTTCTTACGCACGCTGTGCGTAAGGACACGCATACATGATTAGCGAGTTGTGTGATCTTAACGATTTACAGTGGTGATCGTAGAAAAGATGCTTCTTACAACTCTTATTACGTAATATACTATTAATTGATGTCTGTGTGCATAATACTGAACTTGACGACGCCTATATTTTCACCGATTTTGTTTTTCCATGATTCGTAACCACGGTTATATTCGAAACATTGAAAACGTCAGCTATGACAGACCAGCTATATTCAGATTACATAATTAGAAATAACGAGCTTTCTGGTGTAAAACCCGACCAAACCGTCCTTTTCAAAAAAAACCTCATTCCCTTTTTACCCGGTGTAAAAAAGGAAATAAAAGATCTCTTCAAAAGCTCTACTGTTACAATCGCTGATTCCGAAGAATGGTACCCTGCAGCAAACTCCTACTACCCTTTCACCGAAGACGTTGACGCCTTTGCTCGAGTACACCATCTTCTCGAATCCAAAAACTCATCCGAATCTGTAGTCAAAGAAGCCGCTCAACTAATAAACGAGTATGGAGACAAACGCGCACGTCATCAGTATCTACGATCCAAACCCACCTGCTTCCTAGTTTTGGGGAAACCAGGATTGGGCGAAGAAGAAGTGGCCAGACGTTTGGCGAATCACTGGAAATGCGTGTATATTGATCCTCTGACTCTTTTAGAGGGCGAAATAGCCCGTGACAGTCGTCCTGGACAATGTATTGAGTTTAATCTGAGGTGTGGACGAGCCGTGGGTATTGATGTTTTAATCAGGTTGTTAGCGAGAAGGGTGCAGTTTCCAGATGTATTGCATAGAGGGTTTGTCTGTTGCGGTTTTCCTTTAATTCCGAATGACCTTTATGAAGAAGATCCGATTTCTTCGGAGTCTGCAGTTTTTAACGTGCGCGAGATTTTTGAAGATATGATTGACCAGACCCTGCAGATCACTGACATTTCAATGAAAGTTGCGGTTTCAATGGTTGATTCGAGTAAGGTTGATTCCGAAATGATAAAAGAAGAAAAATCGGAAGACAATGAAGTCTTAAGCCAACCCGAAATTGAGATGTCTTTAGAGTGGAGTATACAGGATCAAGTTTGTGGACCTTCGGACATTTCCACGGATCTGGAAAAACAACTAAGTTGTCTCTTCGGCCTTTTTGAATATCCTTTCGTTATTATTTATTTGTTTGGACGAAACTCGGATGTTATTTCGAAAAGAGACAACTACTATTTTGATGTTTATTCGAACAAGACTATCGATATGCAAAAGATTAAGGTGTTTTATGAGGCGGGCGCTGCTAATGAAGAACTTACCGAAGATTTGTTTGGTGAAGGAAGAAACCCATTCGCCGACAATCCGAGTCTCAGACACATAGTGAAGCACCCGGAGAATCTACCAGCACATGTGAGCACACAACTCGATCGATACCACAACGAACTAGTCAATAGCCTAGATTCTCGTATTTTACAACACGAGCACCAGTACTACATCAAATTAGACAGTCGATGTTTCATTTCCCAAATGCTGAATCTGATCAAGTTGCGACTCAAAAATCTACCACTCCAACCGGTTCTGATTCCTCAAGAATTCCCCGCGTCTACTGAAGAAGTCGGTGAAGGAGGAACTCAAGAAATACCGATTCAGACACCCGAAGAAGCATTCCTTAAATTGCGTAAACAAGACATCGTAAGTCCTATGTTCCAGTGGGTTTGGTCCGACTGGGGCTCCTTCTGTCCCGTTTCCATGTCCGAGAGCGTCTACCAGAAAGGTTCTCCCAAATACGCTGTCCACTTCGCAAACCAAATTTATTTTATGTCAAGTGAAAAAAACTATTACAAATTTATCGAAAATCCGCGTAAATTTTTGCTACCACCGTTTCCTAAGCCCGGTTCCAACGTCTTAGTTATTGGACCTCCGGTGTCCGGGAAATCGGCCATAGCGAAATGTTTGGGATACTTGTTGAATTCCAAAGTACTAGCACCGGGTGAAATGTACAAGGAATATATAAGTCAAGCTTTGGTTGAACTTCAAGAACAAGTGAAACAAAGTGCGATCGCGGAAGCTATGGAAATTTTGAAAGAGAACCAAATCACGAAATTTGAAGAAATCCAGCAACAGATTGCAGAGTGGAAGGATGAGGTAGTTCAAAATTTGCAAAAATTGAGTATTTTGTTGGACCAACAATCCAAGAAGACGGAAGACGTGCTATCTTCATTTCCCATGATGATGCAACAAAGTTTACCGAATATCGACACTCTAGACGAAGAGGCATCGATTATTATTGAGACGTTGATCTCTTTAAATTTTCACAAACAGATAGATAAGGAATTCTGCGATAGGTTGTTGCAAGATCCTGATATTCTTAACGAGTACCTTCCAGATGAATTGAAGCAAGAAAAATACCCAGAAACACCATCAGTTCACGATCCTTTCGTGCTGGAGTACGTGGAAGAGAAAGTCAGCGAAATCCAAATAGAAGATGTGAAGATTAAAGCGAAAGA